TTTAGTTATCGTTTTTGGTTTTAATTTAAACTTCCTAGTGTTAGAGCTTACAAATTGAATAGAGAAGCGAATATATATATATATATATATATATATATATATATATATATATATATATATATATATATATATATATATATATATATATATATATATATATATATATATATATATATATATATATATATATATATATATATATATATATATATATATATATATGCAAACATTCTCACACTCAAACCAATGAAAGTTGAATATGAGTGATATATATATATATATATATATATATATATATATATATATATATATATATATATATATATATATATATATATATATATATATATATATATATATCGTCTTTGTAAGGGACAATCTTTTTGCTTTTTATATATATAAAATCTGCGGGTTTTCTGTGGATTTTCCTTTAAATTTTTCTACGGATTTTCATTTTAGGATTTAAACCAAAATGATTTTAAAATTTAAGGACTATTTTAAAAAAATAATTTAAGGACTAAAACCAAAAACACGCTAATTTGCAAGAACAAAAAGACTATTTAAGCCTTTTGTATATATTTTAACTTGACGTCTATGGTCATTTATGTTGAGAAAAAGAAGTGTGAGTTGAAAGTATTGAGAAACAAAGTGTGGGGAAGTTTCAAATTGATTAGAAAAGTAGAGATATGACACTTTATAAGTGAAAAAATCCACATACTTATCATCTTAAGGTTTTTGGTGAATATGTGGTGTGTCTCACACAAGGTGTGTTGCTCGTAAAAAAGGTCCAAATGTAAAAATGCCTCATCATGTTGATATCTAAATTGATGGCCCAATATTTGGCATCAAGAGTCTAGTTCTTTGATCGAACACTTAGTGTGCGAAAATGTTTTCCATCTCCAATGAACGTATCTCTCCAAATCTCTCCACTCTCGATGCAAAGAATTATGACAAGTGGCGCAAATAGATTAAGGTGTTGTTTGGTTATCAAGATGTTATTGAAATGATCAAGAATGATGTTAATCCACTTGTAGAAGGTGCAATGGTTGCACAAAGGATTGCACACAAAGAAGAGAAGGCAAAAGATTTCAAAACTTTGTCATCTCATTCAACAATGCGTTGATGCTGATAACTTTGAGAAGGTTGGTGATTGCACATCCTTAAAGAATGCTTGAGAAATCTTTGAGAAAAGTTATGCATGAGAGGATAAGGAAAAAGTGGTGAGGTTACAAACTCACAAGACACGGCTATAACTAGTTCAGATGGAAGAGAAGGAAATCATTAATGAATTTACTACAAGAATCAAAAGATGGGTGAATCAAGCGAAAGCATGTGGAGAAACAGCCACTGAGTAGTATGTAGCTGGTAAAATCTTGAGATCTTTAATATCAAGATTCGATAACATAGTGGTTGCGATTGAAGAGTCCAATGATCTTTCAACTATGAGCAAAGAAGAGTTGCAAAGTTCTCTTAAGAATTATGAGCAGAGAATGGAAGAGAGGAATGTTGACAAAGTAAAGACCGAAATTTCTTTGCAGGCTTATTTAGTTGGAAAAGACAAGAAGGTGAAGGGAAAATCGTCCATGAATATAGGTAGAGGAAACTACCACTACAATGGCGGAAGAGACTCCCAAAATTTTAACAATTCAACATTTCAAAAGGGTGAAAGTAGTTGCAATAAACATGGTGGATCAAGCAATTACAAAGGTGGAAACAAAAGGAGGAAGAAGGAAAGATTATAAGAGCATTGTCCAATAAGCTAAAGCAAACTTCACGAGGCAAAAATATGATGAGAGCACAATGTTGATAGTGATTGCTGAAACAGAAAACAACACAAGAAAGGGCAGATGTAATTGGTTACAAGCAGAGCGTATCCGATTACCATCAGTTGAAAATGTGAAGCTGACTACACGAGAAGATGCAGAATGCAATGATCAATGGTATTTTGACTCTGGGTGTTCAACTCACATTACGGGAATGAATGATTGGTTTGTAAAAATCAATAAAGTGTTCAAACACAAGGTGAAATTCTCAAATGACAACATATTAGTAACAAAGGGTATTGACGATGTATCAATCAAGAGGAAGTATGGTGGGCATTCTTTGATTAAAGATATGTTGTATATTTATGGAATCAAATGTAATATTTTAAGCATTAGTCAATTAATTAAAAGGAATTATAAGATTCACATGGAAAATAAAATGCTAAAAGTTATGGATGCAAATGGGAGTTTGATCCTAAAGGCCCCATATGGCTCAAAACAAAACTTTCAAAGTTGAATTGAAAGTAATTGAGCATATGTGTCTTGCAATAACTACTATAAAGGAAGAAGATATATGGTATTATAAGCTTGGGCATTTGAAATTCAAGGATCTAAATGCTATGCAGAAAAATAACATGGTTATGGGGATGCCATTGATCAATATGCCAACTAAAGTATGTGAATAGTATGTGCAGGCTAAGCAACACTGAGGAAACTTTAGAAAATATGCAAGATGCATAATCAAGTGTCATCTTGAGGTGGTGTATTCAGATGTTTATGGACTGATGTAAGTTGACTCAATCGGAGACAATAGGTATTTTGTCACTTTCATTAGTGATTTTAGTATAAAGTTGTGGACTTACTTAATTAAAAGAAAATACAAGGTGCTGGAAGTATTAAAAAAGTTCAAATCCATGGTGGAAAGACAAAGTAATCACAAATCAACTCTAAAAACAGATGGTAGAGGTGAATATGTCTTAAATGACTTTGAGAAGTTTTGTGATCAGAAAGGCATTGTACACGAGGTAGTGTCACCCTATATGCCTCAACAAACCTGAGTCGCTGAGAGGAAGAATTGATCACTTTGAACATGGTGAGAAACATGTTGAAAGGGAAGAACTTGCCAAAAGAATTTCAGGGAGAAATGGTGTCCACAAACACATATTTGTTTGTCCAGCAAAGAAATTGAAAAATATTACACCAGAAGAATCATGGTCCGGATTCAAGCCAAGTACGAGTCACTTAAAGGTATTTGGTTTGGTTGCATATAGACATGTTCCATACCAGCTTAGAAAGAAGCTAGACGACAAAGGATAATAACTGATACTTCTTGGGTATCACTCACCCAGAGGCTACAAACTCTATGATGGAGTTAATAAAAGAAATGTAATCAATAGAGACATGATTTTTGACTAATTAAGGAACTGGAAACATGTTGTAATTGATTACGTATTAGTTGTAACTAGTTACAACAGGGATGGAAACGTTCCTGCAGTGTCTGAAAGGAAAGAAATTGCATCTGACAAAGTCCAAGTTGAAGAAAATGTGAGAATGTCAACAAGGAAAAGAGGCATGCATGCGAGATTGCAAGATTGTGAGTTGATCCCAGATAATGAAAGAATTATAATGGCGATCTTGTCCATTTTGTACTCATGGCTAAATCCGAACCGATGAAAATGGAGGAAGCCTTGAGTGATCCAAAGTGGATATGTGCAATGAAGGAGGAGTTGGAATTGATTGGAAAAAATAAGACACGAGAACTTCTTGATCTACCTCAAGGAAAGAAGTCAATTGGTTTAAAATGGGTATACAAAGTGAAGGAAAATCCCAAAGGTGAAATAATCAAGCATAAGGCTTGATTAATGGCAAAGGGACTTTCGCAAAGAGAAGTCATAGACTTTGAAGACGTATTCACATTGATGGCTAGAATTGAAACCATTAAGCTAGTTGTTGGTATTGCAAATAACAACAATTCGTCAATCTACCAAATGGATGTCAAATTTATATTTTTGAATGGTTCTTTGGAAGATGAAGTGTATGTGGCACAACCACCTAGTTTTATTGTGAAAAACCAGGAATCCAAGTTCTATAGATTGAGAAAGACAATGTATGGGCTGAAGCAAATGCCAAGAGCTTGGAACAAGATAATTGATGGATTTTCAAAGGAGATAGGATTTGATAAATGTGTATCCAAATATGGTGTGTATGTGATAAAGGATACAAGCAAAAGTGATCGTCTTATGTCTCTACGTCGATGATTTACTAATTACGAATCACAATAAAGGTTACATTATCAAATTCAAGGGTGATTTAATGAAGGAGATTGAGATGACCGACCTTAATCTCATGACATATTTCCTTGCCATTGAGTCTCACAAATTTAAAAAGTGACAGATTATACATCAAAAGAGATTTGCACTTGACATTTTAAAGAAGTTTGAAATGGACTAATGTAATGTGACAATTACCCATGCAAAACCATAATTAATTTTATTTATCCTAATGACTAATGTTTAAAACACTTTTTATAATAATGATTAAATATGTACAATTTCCTTCTCAAATGATAAGATATTTGACCTTAAAAAAATATAATTAATTTTACATAAAATAATAAATTAAAAAGGTTATTTTTTATTAATGATATTGAAAAAAATAAAACTAACAAAAGAGAAAATAATAAATAATTAAAGAAATATATATATATATATATATATATATATATATATATATATATATATATATATATATATATATATATATATATATATATATATATATATATATATATATATATATATATATATTCTAGAATACGTAGTACACCTAAATATACTTAATTTATTTTGTATAGTAAAAAACTTAGTGAGTAAATTAACAATAATTTGAAAATTATAGTGGTATGCGTTTCCGTGGTTTGACCGCTACCTCTCTTCCTAAATCCCAACCCTTTTTTAATTCCTTCCTTCCTTCCTTTCCCATTTTATATTTTCGCAGCCATCATCATAAACTCACCGATTCTTCTCATAACAAACAGACACTGAAATATAGACCGACTAGTGTCTATGTTTTTATGTTTCTCTCTGTCACACCGTCTGTTTCCATACCCTAAGGTTTTTGTTTTTCTTCCTCTTTCTCTTTCTCTTTCACTTCAATAAATCATCACCTTTTCCAACACATACTCTTATTTCCACCTCTTCTCATCAATCTCAAAAACAACAACCAAAAATACAAAACATGAGTTCTGATCAACGAGAACACCTTCAGATCCATCAAACTCGTCGATTACCAGATTTTCTCCAAACCGTAAATCTCAAATATGTCAAACTAGGTTACCATTACCTAATCACACACCTCTTAACTCTCTGTTTAATCCCTCTAATGTCCATTATCATTGTCCAAGTTTCACAAATGAACCCTCAAGACATTCACCATCTCTGGCTTCACCTCAAATACAATCTCGTCTGTGTCATTACTTGCTCCGCTATTCTCGTTTTCGGATCCACCGTTTACATCATGACCCGACCCAGATCCATTTACCTAGTCGACTACTCTTGTTACAAACCCCCTTCCAATCTCACCGTTAAATTCACCAAGTTCATCCAACACTCCAAACTCAAAGGCGATTTCGATGAATCTTCGTTAGAGTTTCAGCGCAAGATTCTAGAACGTTCTGGTCTCGGTGAAGAAACCTACCTCCCTGAAGCTATGCATAAGATTCCACCAACACCTAACATGGTTTCTGCGAGAGAAGAAGCTGAACAGGTTATGTATGGTGCTCTTGATAATCTTTTCGCTAATACAAAGATTAAGCCTAAAGAAATTGGTATACTTGTTGTTAATTGTAGTTTGTTTAATCCAACGCCTTCACTCTCGGCTATGATTGTTAACAAGTATAAACTAAGGGGGAATATAAGGAGTTTCAATTTAGGTGGTATGGGTTGTAGTGCTGGTGTTATAGCTATTGATCTTGCGAAAGATATGCTTCAGGTTCATAGAAACACTTATGCTGTTGTTGTTAGTACTGAGAATATTACTCAGAATTGGTATTTCGGGAATAAGAAATCTATGTTAATACCTAATTGTTTGTTTCGTGTCGGTGGTGCCGCGGTTCTGCTTTCGAACAAAGGCTGCGATAAAAGAAGAGCTAAGTATAAGCTTGTTCATGTTGTGAGAACTCATAAAGGTGCTGATGATAAAGCGTTTAAGTGTGTGTATCAAGAACAAGACGATGTTGGTAAAACCGGTGTTTCTTTGTCTAAAGATCTTATGGCTATTGCCGGTGGAGCGCTTAAGACTAATATAACAACTTTGGGTCCGCTTGTTTTACCAGTCAGTGAACAGCTTTTGTTTTTTACTACCTTGGTTGTTAAGAAGCTTTTTAATGCGAAAACGAAGCCTTATATACCTGATTTTAAACTTGCTTTTGAGCATTTTTGTATACATGCTGGTGGAAGAGCTGTGATCGATGAGCTTGAGAAGAATTTACAGCTTTTGCCTAATCATGTTGAGGCGTCGAGAATGACTTTGCATAGATTTGGGAACACTTCATCAAGTTCAATTTGGTATGAATTGGCTTATATAGAAGCCAAAGGGAGGATGAGAAAAGGTAACAGAATTTGGCAGATTGCATTTGGGAGTGGTTTTAAGTGTAACAGTGCAGTGTGGCAGGCGATGAAACATGTGAAAGCTTCACCTATGAATCCATGGGAAGATTGCATTGATAGGTATCCAGTTGAGATTGTTACATAGTTTGATATGATAGTTCTTCTAGTCTTATGAGTCAATCAGTTAGAGAAGAGTCTTTGCACATTTATGTTTTTGTTTCCTAAAAATTTATCCTTGAGTTGAGTCAGTGATGTTGTCTGGTTTAGATGTCGGTGTTACTGGGTCCATATTAGGTTGCTTGAATTTTTAGTAATTATTCAACAATTATCTTAATTAATTAATTAATTAAGTAATTAATTATATGCAGAGTAGTAAGTCCATATTATTGAGTATTCATTTTAACATTTTAACTACTATGCATACATTATCTATTTCACATATTTAGAGGTTGTAACTTTAATAAAGACAAACTTGTTGGAACTTTAATAAGACATGAAGATGCACAATGATATGGGATAAGGAAAAAAAAATCCTCTAAATGAATAGTAGTGACGTAAATTCATTGATTCAATTATTAAAAATTATTAAAAAGCAATAAGCTTGTGGAGAAAGTTGAAATAAAGTGTTAAATTCCCACGTGTTATGATATGCTTTTTTTTAATCAGATTTGCATGACAAAGCACATGGCCAGCCTCAGAACTAATAATCCCTTTTGTAAAAGGAAAAAAAGTGGGATTCATTTATTTGCTGTGTTGCAGTACTTTGTGAACGAAGGGGTTGCCTATATGCTTTTTGGCCATGCCGAATGATGATGTGCGATAAACCATACGTAGTGTTAAGTGTTTGGCTACATGCCTTATAGCCATGCCGAATGAGGTGTACGGGCTGTTTACCTCTAGAGCATCTAACCTGAGAAGAGATTCAAATGGTTTGACATCTTGAATGCAAAGCTTCCTACTTCATTGACTATTTTTATATATTTTGAACTATTTGAGGGATAATATATTAGTTTATATGTTTTATGGCCTGTTTGTTTTGAATTTTTTTCTTAAAATAACTTTTATAATGTTACATATTTTGATATATATCAAAAAATTTATGAAGAATTTTTTTTATAAAAACTTAAATAAAAATTTGGTTTGAATAGTTATTTTTAACATGTTATTTAGGTATTTTATTAAAAAAAATTTTAGATATCAAAATTTCAAAAAATCACTTAACTTTGAAGCTATTTAAAATAGCTTATCATAAAAATTATTTTTGAAAATATAATTTTTTTTAAAAATTATGATTTTGACTATGTTTTAAAAGGTGATGTTATAGAATATCAAAGTTAATCTTTTAATTTAAAAATTAATTTAATTTTTTTTATAATATTTAAAAAAACGTTTTTGTAGAATCTATTTTCAAAAATAAAAATAAAAAATCTATTTTTTTAAAGCTAAAATAAATAGCCCTATATTATGTGTCTTATATATATATATATAATATATTTGACATTTTATAAATATTTTGTTTTTATTTATTAAATCTTGTTGAAAAATCTATTTTTCTTTAAATAGAGTCTTTTATATATGTAGATACTTTTTTCTAGATATATTTTTATCATTAATATTACAAATTTATTATAAATATCAAAAACTAATGTTAAATACATTTATATACAAACTATATACATTAGTTATGTTTTTTTTTTTTTTTTTTTTTTTTTGTATTTTATAAAATAGGCCGAGTTTAATATACATCTCTTTGTAATTTTTCTAGTGGTTTTCATTTTTGTATACAGGTTTTATGATTATATACTTAAAATTATAGTGATTATACTTATGTAAAATTGTGCAATACATAATATAATTTAAAATCAAAGTGATTATACTTGTAAAATTATCTTATACTATTTAAATAAGTTATAATTAAATTCTTTTAAGATTAACAAAAACTAGATGTTTGTATGTGGGACACATAAAGTTTATATGATTGTATTTGTTAGTTTTATTTAAATAAACAGTTTAAAATATATTTATATAAATATTCGAATAAATTATACGTATAAAAAAAATTTGAAGTGTTTATCAAGACATAACTTTTATATGATTGTATTTGTTAATTTCATTTAAATAACCAGTTTAAAATATATTTATAATAATATTAAAGTAAAGTATACCGTTATAATTAAGCATGCACTTGAGATATGATACCTAGTAGGAAGAGTTTCATTAATATAACTTGAATTAATGAAATACATAAAATGTTACATTAATATAACTTGAATTAATAATAAAAAAATTATGTGTGAGTGGAACAACTCAAATAACATGTGTTGATTGACTTAAATAGATGTAAAGTTCAATTCACGAAGGAAATATCTAGTTATATTTATGTATTAATGTCAAAATATTTTTTATATTATAAATCAATAATTTAAAAAACATCATCTCTAATTTTTTTAAGGGAAATGCTAACGAGTGTCATTTGTTAAGAGATTAAAATGGTAAGTTAAGCATTATTTAAGAGATTAAAAATACATTTTTTTTTAAATATAGATGTATTCAATATCCTGAAAAGAGAAATAATCAGACTTTTTAAATAATATTGTGTGTATTGAGTGAAATAAATATAACATATTTTCCTTATTTGGAATTCTTAACTAGTGTGCCGAGGGCACTGGTTAGCATGACCCTTTTTTTAAATATATGTTAGGTTTATTTTATGGTTTTATGTATTCAAAATTATTTAAATATTAAATTAAAATTATAAATTTAAGCTATTAAAAAAATTACATAAAATTTTTAATTTTTTTATAAAGTTGTTGATTTATAAATATTAAATTTCACTATTAAATTATGAAAAAAGATACAAATAAATATTGCTATAAAAAATGTTAATCTGAGAACAACAACTCACACTAATTTATATCAACTAAAAAAACATCCATTGAGCAATCTCACTTAAAGTTTTTGAAATTAATTTTAAATAGTTTTTAAATTTTACAAATAAATAATAAGATAAAAAATAAAAAATAATAAAATAAATTTAGATAAACTTTATAAAATTCTATTGACACTACTAGATAATCAATTTCAATTTAATTTCATAAAGAAATAAGTAATTGTAATATATATATATATATATATATATATATATATATATATATATATATATATATATATATATATATATATATATATATATATATATATATATATATATATATATATATATATATATATATATATATATATATATATATATATATATATATATATATATATATATATATATATATATATATATATATATATATATATATATATATATAATGAATAAATTATATGCGAATGTGATAATGAATAAAAACAATCGGATTTAAAAAAGAAATGTTGGGATTAAATTGTGATTTTCACTAAATCATGTGTCATTAAGAGGAAAGAGAAATCATTAAACAAGTTTTAAAAATATATTTTAATCTCAACCTTTTCTTTTTAAATTTGATAGTTCTTATTCATTTTCACATTCTCGTATAATTTACTCTCTCTCCGTTTTTTATTATAAATCGTATTTTATTTTTCACACGTATTGAAAAATATAATAATTGTGACATTGAAAAGAGAAATTATAAAAAAATTTATAAAATTATTCTTCATTAATTATATTGAAAAGAAAAATTTACATGATTTAATGCTGAGAGAATAATAAATAGGCAATACTATTGTTTTAGTCTTTTAAGTTATTTTAAAATATTAAGTTTTTTTTATAATGTTTTGATCCCTTTTAAAAAATCTCCGTTACAATAAATTGCAAACTCATATATCATTTGAATTGATTTTTCGCGCTGATCACGAATATGCAATCAAATTTATCAACAAATTACGGTTCATGAGAATTAGGTAAAAGTGAACGAAATACATAATAAAAAATCAATAATCCGACCAAAATAAACAATCAAACGCAAAACTAATTACATATTCGTGATCAGCGCGAAAAACCAGTTCAAATGGTATATGAGTTTGTAATTTATTATAACAGAAATTTTTAAAAAAGAACCAAAGCGTTATAAAATTTTTTTTAAAAATTAACTTGATATTTTAAATAATTTAAAGGAGGTAGATAGTAGTTTTGCCTAATAAATATTTAAGGGTATCATAAAAAAAAATAACATTAATAATTCATTGATATTATAAAATGTGGTACAAAATATTTTTAAAAAAGACTTATAATAAAAAATAGAGGTAATACTAATTTAGAATAATTGAATAGAACAAAGCATAAAAAAAGAGAATGTAAAATAAATGTGTAAAAATCTTTAAATGATACATCTTCTATTTTAAAATCACTGTTATATTTTATATTTTTTATACAAATTAAAAAAATTTAATAATGTAATAATATAAAAAAAAAGAATAATAATTTTATAAAACTTTTCTTATCAATTTTTGATGTATTTGAATCAGCATTAATATAAATAAAAATAATAATAAATTAAAAGTATTAATTAGAAAATATAATAGAAAAAAAAATAAAAATTACATTTATAAGATAAAATAACAAATATTTTAAAATAAATAATTTTTTTAAATGTGATCTTTAATACTTTATTCTGGAATGGATGGAGTAGTTGAAAAAATAAATAGACATCAAGTTATATATATATATATATATATATATATATATATATATATATATATATATATATATATATATATATATATATATATATATATATATATATATATATATATATATATATATATATATATATATATATATATATATATATATATATATATATATATATATATATATATATATATATATATATATATATATATATATATATATATATATATTATAACAATTTAACACACATCTTACTATATATTTAGATGTTTTTTACACATTTTTTATAAAATAATATTATTACATATCTAATGGTCAGTTGTGTACTAATATATAGAAAATGAAATGTCTGATCATATCATTATTAAATACATAAATATTGTACAAATTAAATGATAATATGAATTGTTCATAATTATTGTATTTAATGTTTTATGAAATCTTATATAACTATATATTTTTTAATCTATTTTTAATCAATTATGTAAATTGTATAATCATAAATATTTTATTATTTAAATGAATTA